TAGTTATCACACAGGGAGTAGTGGGGAGAAAAACAATTCTCTTGGCCAAAGCTAAAAGAAGACACTTTCCTTCTTTTCTGAAACACTCACATAAACTATGTGATTGTCAGTTAGTTAAAATGATGATAGGTCTGTAAAAGTTGCTTATGTCTAAAATTTTAGGTTTTAAACACTGGTTAAGTGTCATGGATATGCCTGTAGAGTTATCACACAGGGAGTAGTGGGGAGAAAAACAATTCTCTTGGCCAAAGCTAAAAGAAGACACTTTCCTTCTTTTCTGAAACACTCACATAAACTATGTGATTGTCAGTTAGTTAAAATGATGATAGGTCTGTAAAAGTTGCTTATGTCTAAAATTTTAGGTTTTAAACACTGGTTAAGTGTCATGGATATGCCTGTAGAGAATTGAAAGAGCTCAGGGCTCTGACAGATTAAGGAGATACTGTGTGGCTTGTACTAGGGCCAAGACTGGACCAGTATGGTTTTCAGCCTCTGCTCTGTGGGGAGATACTTGGATGGTGAATATAATGGATAGAATTCTCTCTCAAAATAGTAGGCAGTAATAAAGAGCTATTAGCAAAGCATTAGGAATGAAATACAGAGCAGAGAGGCTCTCCTTTTCACTAAGCAGTGAATCATTTTAAAGAGATTTGCAGTCAGTAATAGTGTCAGTAGACAAATTCCAGGACAGAGTGGAGGGAATATCTTTCTGAGACACCGATTGATACAACTTTGTGTGAGGTGGCACAAATCAAAATGTGTCTGGAGGAAAACTAATTTCAAATTTGAAATCCAAGTTGTCAAAAAGTTGATATTCCCTTGAGTACTGCACTCCTGATCACCTCTTAGTTTGGAAGATAACTGCTCTTATTTTATATCAGAACCCTGACATGATATGAGCAGAAGGGAAACACCTACAATATTAGTAGCTTTTAATCTTGCTCTATTCAATGAATACATTGAAAGCAATATAAAACTTGACTAGCACTGCAAGCTTTATTTTATTCCTATCTGTATCTGACTGTCAACGCTGAGATGAGGCTTGAAAGAAGGAAGGAAAACTCTCATAGTAGATCACAACCCTACATCCTCTTTCTCCCCCCAAACCAATCATGGAGTTAAGGAAATGAAAATCAGCATAGCTCAGACCTGTCAAGAGACAGTTTCTATACAGACTCATTCAGTTTCTGATAAATGAATGCTCGTTGCAGAAGGCACTGATAACCTCATAAGAGCTTCAAGGCCTGAATGAAAAACTCCATTATAACCTATCTAATCTAATTGCAAACTTTCCATTTTGCTGTTATAGAGGTGCTCTCTGTGCCAGTGATGCTCATTTAAAATCTATTGGAAGACAAAGTGGACATTAGTGTCTGTGCATGCAGTATGTAGTCAAAATACAACTTTCTTGAGACTACATCTCCTTCATTTTCTTTTTGGTCATTAAGTGCCTATGTTCATAAATATGTTTTAAATGTGGCATCCAGGCCTGATATGTTTATTGTCTTCTTCATAGAATTAAAAAAAATCCAGATAAAAAGCAGTTTTTAATGTTCATGAAATATAAATGCATTAACCTTGGAACACTAGGAAGGGCCAATATATTTTATGATCTTTTTTATATTCTATTTAGAACTTTGCAAATGTTGTACATAATTTATACTGACATCTTTTTGGATTTTAAATCAATTACTATACATTGCTCTCTAATTATTTGACTTTATAAATAAATTTTAAATTTGTAAATTAATTCTTCATGCATGATTGCATCAGTAACTGCTTTGATTTTGTTATTACCCTGACTCATATTGCATTAAAAATATTGTCACTATATTTTCAGTTGGGTCATTGTTCAACCCTTTGCCACAGCTTGTCTTATTGCACCAGGTATGCATAGTTCTCCTTTTTATGTTGCAGAAAACAAATGAGATGACTTAGTGGAAAATTGTGTTAACTCTACTTCAAATGTCCTCATCTAAGCAGGTAGGATGCACATACTGAATGTGCCAGTGCTTCTTTCAGTGCTTGTAAAATTGGCCAAAGCTCAAGTGAAATTGACAGAAGCGATGGATTCATGTCACATTTGTTTCTGGTGCTCAGTTGAAAAGAAAAATCCTGAAATTCTACTGTAAGAACCACAATTGCCATTGCCTCAGATTTTCCTGCTTTGTGCAGCCACAAAATGTTTCATCTGTGTCTCATTTTGTGTTGTGGAATGAAATTCAAGTGTAAGACTCAAAAGAAAGTTCATGCCAACTGAATGAAGCACTTACTAGAGGTAGAGAAGGATGACATGTACAGTCTATCTTGGTTCTTGATGCTGATTGAAGTGGACTGACATCTCAGTAATCTCCGATGCTTCTATTATAGGTGAATTAAGACTAACCTGGGACTGGATTTGCCAGCACCTTGGAGCTCTCTGCTTTAAGACCAGGCAATGTGGAAATGCACAGAACAATATACTTAGCAGGAGACTGCAATCTGCTAGTAAGCAGACAGAAATAAGAATCCCAGAGTTTCTAAGATTTGTGGTTAATCTATCTTCATCCTCATCATTCCTGGATGTGTAAGCTATTTATGGATGTGAAGGAGATGGTACTGGGCTATGGGTACCTCTTTTTATTTGCTGAAAAGAAAGACTTGGTGGTGATTCTCTTGGAATATAGGGAGAGCCTAGATGGCACTGTATGACGAGGGAAAATCAACAAGTGCCAGAAAGCTAAAAGATCATGATAACTGCAGTTAAAAGTGGACAGCTCTGTGGCCATGTATTACTTCAGCCCTCCACTTTTCCTGCATTCTAGGGAACTGAAAGGGAAAGCCTTGGTGGATGGCAGAATGGCTTCATTGGAGGAAGTAGGGACTTGGGACGCAGAGCTAATATGGAGGCACAAGGTGATCTGTGAGGTTTAGGCATGCTAGCCTGTGGATGGTGATTGGTGGGTTAGTTTTCTATCTCAACAGAAAAATGCAGAGGAAGCTTGGTGAGTGGAATCCTACAGTGTCCTGGTCCTGATCCCAGGAGAATAATTTGGCTCAGTACATGAAAAGGTCCTGGTTTGACATAGGACATATTGTTTGTGGAGGGCAAAGGCAAATTCAATTGGGACTTTGCATAACTAGAAGGAGGCAGCTGAACATTTCCCAAGATGAATGGAGTAGGGTTGCAGAAATGCTGCTTGTTATACTGACTATACTTTAGGCCCCACCCTCAAGAGCCATGGTGGGCAACATTGGAGTTCTATCTGTGTCCTATAAGACATTTTGTGTTGCCATATTCCGCTGCTTTCCGTCTGCATAGTTTTTTTTTCTTACCAGTGGTACTTAAGTGACATGCACATAAAGCAAGGGCACATGAAATGAGGGGTGTGCTGATTGCACACAGCATTGACTTGCAGCCCACTGAGGTGAAAGAGGACCACTCATGCAGCCCACACACCCATCACTGCTCAGGAGGTTCATAAGCTGACCTAGTATTAATCACAGTCCAAACCTACATTTCAATAAATACATATGTGCAGTGAAATCTGTACAGACATATGCAATATTTGATAGACCGAGCTACGGTGAGCTTCACAGCATGATAATAGTCTTCATTATCCAAACTCCAAATCTGTTCATTTGTTTTGGTGATGGTGGGAGAAGTACCCGTTAAGAAAAAATGGAGAGGGGATGAGGCCTCTAAAATAATAGAATCATAGAATGCTAGAACTGGAAGGGACTTTGGGAGATAATCAAAGTCCCCTGCCCTCATGGCAGGACCAAGCACTACTAGATCATCTCTGATTGATGTCTGTCTAACCTGCTCTTAAATATCTCCAGTGATGGAGATTCCACAGTCTCCCAAGGCAATGTATTGCAGTGTTTAACTACTCTGATAGTTAAGAACTTTTTTCTAATGTCCAACCTAAACCTCCCTTGCTGCAATTTAAGCCTGTTGCTTCTTGTCCCATCATCAGAGACCAAGGAGAACAATTTTGCTCTATCCTCCTTATAACACCTTTTTAGATGCTTGAAAACTGCCACCGTGTCCCCTCTCAACCTAGGGTTACCAGATGAGTTTCAAAAAAAATACTGGACACACGTGATCTCAGAACGGGATGGGGGGAACTGGCTGGTGGGGGGGAGTGGAGCTGGCCAGGGTGGGGCCTGGGAGAGCGGAGGTGGGTAGGGGG